ATCATTTTCACATTTTTCTTTCTCTTTAGTTTTGTTGAAATTTAAATTCTTGATTAGGGTAATTATATTTTGTCAAGCAAAATAAATTAATGTTGCATTAGTTTATAAATAACAGCTTTTAAAAGTGGCACTTGAGACTGTGACGAGAGAAACAGACAAAGAACCAAATCTGGTCAATGTGTTTCTAGGCATATTTTTATTCAATGTCAGAACTTTGTCCTACTCATATCATCTCTTGAAAGTGCTACTACAGATTAGGAATTTCCTTCCAAAATTGGCATTAAATCACATCTATAATTAAAATATTAAAGTTAAATTTAAAAATTAATAGATGTTCTAATTTGCATTCAGTTGACAAGAAAATAGTCTTGATAGGAATTAGAAATATTGCTAGAACCATAGATCTAGAAGTGGAAGATACCTCCAAGTCCATCTAGCTCAACTCTCCCATCTTACAAATGAGAAAACTGATATCAAAGGACTTGCCTTAAATCACCTGGTTAGGTGAAATTTGAACCCAGATCCTCTGATTCAAAAGCCAGTGTTCCTTTCTCTGGCCTCACCAACTTAACCTTATTCCAAAAGTTCCCTCTACCATGAACATAAAATATTAACATCCTCATCAGTGAAATAATTCTTCCTAGCAGTTCTGCAAATTATTACCTAAAGCTAAAACTTTCTAGAATCACAGCTAGTGGGGCTGCATTAAAAGCTCCAAGTGGGCCATTAGAATTTTTTGCTTATCTAAATACTTCCTTTTAGATATAAAAAATGTACCATATTCCCCTAGCTTAATTTCAAAACAAATGTTCAAATTTTTAATAATCAAACAGAAGAGAATTTTGTTTTTGACCTTAACTTAAAATAGAGCCTGTGTTGAGTTGTGTCTGACTCTGTGACCCCATTTGGGGTTTTCTTGGCAGAGATACTGGAGTGGTTTGCTATTTTCTTTTCCAGCTCATTTTATAGATGAGGAAACTGAGACAAACAGGGTTAAGTGATTTGCCCTGGGTCACAAAGCTAAGTAAGTATCCGAGGTTGAATTTGAAATCATGAAGATGAGTCTGATTCTGAGCCCAGTGCTCTATCCACTGCACTACTTAGCTGCCTCCAAAAATACAGCCTAGCATCGCTTTATTTTGTGAAAAGATGAAACAATGATGAATGAATTAGAGAACTATAAAAATGCCACCCAGCAGATAATAAACTAAGTAGACTTCCATAGAAGCTGAAGCAAGAATGAGATTTATTCTCTGAATAGCTAGGGAGCAAATCATATGGTCTGAAAATATGATTGAAATATCTTTCTTATGAAATGTCCTGGCCAAATAAAAGGCACACTTGCCTTTTAATTCAGAAGCTACATTAAATGTTTTCAAGGAATTTCATTCAATGTCCACTAGGAAAAAAAAAGGTGACATGGATTAGTGGGAAAGCTGCAGCTGAAGTACATTATTCAGACTATGTCGATTTGAGAAAGTGAAAATCGCTGTCTTGTGTAGGAAATATTTTCATTGTTAGAAAATGGTTGATCAGAAACACAGAGGTTTATACTAACCTCTTCAGGGGTTTAGATACAGAACATTTTAAGCACAATTTCTGTTTATTGTTGCTTCAGATCACTATGTACCAAGAGAGAAAATGTTAAGCTTCAGTAAATGGTCAGCACTAGTACTATCTGAGAAGAAAATTCCGATTTGTACATAATATAAATTATATACAAAGAAGATTTCCTTTGGAAGATTCCTAGGTTCAGATTTATGCTCTTTAGGTCTTGAGATAGCAATCACACACACACACAAAATCTCTGAAACTTTTACAACCCAAATATTACTAAAAAAAAGTATGTCAACCAAAAAATTAACATTTCTCATAATAATCTAAACAGTGGTTCTACATGTGTGTGGGGGACCCTTTGGCAGTCTGATGACATCTATGGATCCTTTCTCAGAATAATATTTTTAAATGTATAAAAGAGGTGCACAGTAGAGAGAACTCTAGACTTGGAGACAGAAGACCTAAATTCAAATCTGGCTTTAGACACTTTCTAGCTGGGTGACCCTGGGCAAGTCACTTAATGATCTCAGCCTCAGTTTTCTCATCTGATGGGGATAATAATCTTACCTCACATGGTTGTGAAGATCAAATGTGATATTTGTAAAGTGCTTTGCAAGCTTTAATGTGCAATTTAAATGTTAGCTATTATTATTAAAATATATAGGATTAAAAGGGAACTTAATATATTGCAATAAAGACATAGTATTTTTCTCTTCCAAGTTCACAGACCTCCTGAAATCTACTCTTGATCTAACATAATGATCTATGTAATCTCTCACAGAATAATAGAACTTAGCACTTAAAAAAAGTTATTTGGAACTCTGTAAACAGATAAAAAAGTTGTAGGTAATCAGAATCAGGATATTTAGCAACATATTAAAGTATGGTGATTTTCTCTATTTCTTTGGATTATGATTAAGACAATGGTAGGTGCAAAACTATAGAAATTGTTGCCATTTCTTCTCATATTATGCTTTTGAAGATGAAGGAAAAGTGATATACAACTAGGTCCTCAATGAGGATGAATAAGATACCTCCTGAATTGGTTGCATGTATTTGAATTCACATTATTTGAAGTTATAATTATACAAAATGTGCTAACTGGTTCCAGCCCAATGGAAATATGCAGTGTGACCATTTCAGAGGGATTCATCATCTACCCTAATAAGAACCTAACTATAGTTCTAATCTATGTAATGAAGATTTTTTTCACAACTTCAAGAATAAGTCTAAAACTGCATTTTCTATCTAATAACATGGATCCTTTTCTATCTAATAACAAGCACAGAGTACTAAAGTGATGAAAACAAGCCAAAATCATAAAAATACACACACTCTATGTCCATATATACTAATTTACATTAAAAAAAAGATGGCAGTTTTAAAGCAAGTTGAATTCAGCTCCATGTCTTTAACATCCTGGGAGAGATAGAAGTTTCCACAAAATTTTGTATCCCTGCTTTGTTTGTATCCATGAAGCCTAGATTTGGGAACTTTTAGGAGATTGTGTAACAGGTAACTGGTTATTAAGGCTTACGCCTATTTGTGAGCACACTTTATGGAAAGCAGTTACAGGCGGCATTTAAATATTAAATTTGTTCTTTGAGTTCAAGTAATGGGCATATCTAAGAAATATAAATTTTCAACATGCACACAGCTATAAAGCTACATAGAAAGACTATATGTGTGTATTACACATTCAATTCGATTCATCATTACAACTTAATTCAAACAAATCTTTATGGAACACCTCTTACATTCAAGACACTGTACAAACTGTTACATGAATTACAAATATATTGTGAAAGTTATTTAAGAAAATGAATAGGTACTACTATTCAATATAAAACTAATTTCCCATAGTAATAAAATGGTTTTGTCAATCACTCTACATTCCAAGGTCATGTACCCTTCCTAGATACTTATCTCAAAAGGAACCAAACTTCTGGACTGAGGGAAAAGTGACAAATTAGCTGATGTTTAGTCAAAAGACACTGACAATACAACTAAATCTCCCTTTCTTTCTTTTATACTGTTCAGGAATATATGTTTGTTTTGCGAATACTTTTCCTAGTGCGATTGATATATTGTCACTACACTAAATCCATAGGCTAGAAGGGAATTTTAATTCCAGGGTTATAAGCTGATGTCAGCTGTTTTTGTATATATGTTAAAAATCATAGACTGCACACTTTGGTTTGACTGATAAAGTAAAAACTTCACCCGTCTTTATAAAATTGTGTTAAAGAGTAGCTAAGTGGTAGAGTAGATAGAGCATTGGACTTTAGGAAGCCCTCAGTTCAAACAGGGCCTCAGACACTTTCTAGCCATGTGACCTTGGGAAAGTTACTTAACTTTTGTCTGCCTCAGTTTCTTCCTCTGTAAAATGGGGGTAATAATAACACTTACCTCCCAGGGTTGTTGTGAGAATGAAATAATATTTGTAAATCGCATTGCAAACTTTAAAGTGCTTTATAAATATTACCTATTATTATAAATGTTCACAAGCTTAGTCATGGCGTTCTAGGGTTAAGTTATGCCCACTACAGTAGAAAAGAGTAGGAAAGCAAAACTGTATTTACAGCAATTTCATGCCCAGATGCTCTCGAAAAATGAAAAAGATTTCTCTGGAATATAAATATATTAAAAGTATTGCTATTTTTTTTGATAAGCTACAGGCACCTAAACATCATAAGGACTATTAAACCTTTAGCCATATCATTTTAACTAAAACTATAGCCTGTTAACGTTTTCCTTCCTTCCTTCCTTCCTTCTTTCCTTCTTTCCTTCCTCTCCTCCTCCCCTTCTCACCGCCCCCATACCCAGAATAATTTCTAAATAACCCTAGTACAATCTGTCATTGAGCAATGCAAACCTAGCTACCCGCAAAGAGTTGTACTCCATCACTTGTTGCTGGAAGAAAACTGCTTTTCATCAAACTATTTAAATAATCCTTGGTATCCTATTTAATTTCTAGTGCTCACTTTAAAAAAAAAACCCACTTAAAGCACAACTTTCAGTCAAACTATTCTGTAAAACAGTTATTCAGTTGGGAAGAAAATTCTACACTCAGGTTGCAGAAGGTCAATTCCAATTCCTATCCCCAGAAAGTTCCTCAAGAACCCAACTCTTCCCAAAGATTTTGCCAAGGCAGTTAGAGGTCCAGGAACCAAACTGGAAACATTTTACGAGTCTCAGTTATCCCAAAGGGTCTTTATCCCAGCCAGCTGGAGCCTGTTTAGGCTGTGGAGCGGAAGCGCTTGGCATATCAAAGCGCACCTTTTGCCCGAGAGGCCTATAGCACTCTCCTCTACATAGCTGGCGAGTCAGACTTTCCGCCCCACACTGTGGCCTCAGAGAGGGCCTAGGTCGGCCCTGCCCCTCCTGAGCTGCTCGCCCATCTCGACCCCCTAGTTCAACCCCTCCACTCTGCCTACGCTTACCCAACAGCTCGGACCGCGGCTGGCCAACCTGAAGCTCGCTGCCCCCTCTCCTCAGCCCAGGGGGGCTAAGGGCACTCGAACAAGAAGCCAGGCTAAGGCGAGGCTGGAATGTTTTTTTTTTCTTTTAATATTTCTTTTTCTTTTCTTTCATGCAAACTTAACGTTCGAGCCTCAAGCCAGGAGAAGCCGGCTTCTCCTCCTCCTCGGCCATCTCCGCTATTCTAATGCGTGACCGGGCATGGCTGCCCCCACCAAGCGAGTAGCCCCGGCCGGCCAATGCCACGCCCCTGCCACTTCCAAAACTCATCACTTTGGTGGAGGCGGCCCGGGTGGGGGGAGGTCAGAGGGGCGCACGGCCTGCTTAGCTTCTTTGTGAGTTCTGCGCCTCAGCAGGGACACCTCTCTCCCTACCCTTTGGCCCATGGAGCTTTCTCGGGAAAAGTGGGGGGCTGTTCCCCACCCCCAGCCCAGGAAGCGACCCCGCAGTGCCCACAGTTGGCGCGGGACTATGGGCAAACTTCTGTCTCGCAGCTCAGCTTCTCTAGAGTGTGTCCCACCAGGGGCAGAGGTGAGTGTGTGAGTGGAACACTAGCTGTAGCCTCGTAATACACCCACACTTAGCCCCGGCTGGCGCCTGGCTTCCACCGTGCATTCTTGCCAGAGCCTCATCCCCCTGGCCGCCGCCCCCGCCCTACCCTTCTCCATATCCATGTGTCCCCACATGTATTTATAACTGCACTCGGCGTCCATTTCCCTTGTGGGGTCTCTTTCGGCCCCTTCCACACGTGCGCACAGGGCTCGGTGCCCGGCTCAGCTGCCCTAATGTGGCCGCTGGCTGCCCGGTGAGAACTCCGCACTATCCCTCCGTTTCTTTAATCTCCCTGTATTTTTCTTAAGTGTGGTCAGCACAAATCCAAGCTTCCTTGGTCATCTGTCCCGAGAACAGAGCCCGAGGGCTGCTTGAGGGGACACAGCACCCTGCGCTCATAAGTGGCTCTCTCCAAACTTGGAGAGCTAGAGAACGACACCCCCGGCGGGAAAAGCGCACGGGGACAGGGAGGAGGGGGTGGCCTGCCGCAAGGGCAGTAAAGCATCTGCCCCACCCGCATCAAGTAACCTAGGGACGCACTCACACCCTCTGAAAGCCAAAGGTGGGAGTGTTGGTCCAGGAGAGTTTGCAGTAGTCAAGTCCCCATTTAACCTCGCCAAACCAACCCATAAAAGCATAATTGGCCCCCGACGCTTTTACTCTGGTTGAGGAGTTGCGCCACCCGGTGAATGCCAAGGGGAAACGCTCCTCTATAAGCCTGACCCTCGCCCGAGTTTGCTGTCCCAGGGGAAAGAGACTCCAAAGAAGCTATAAATAGCGACAGCCATGCCTGGTTCCCATCAAACACACTTAATTTAGCAGGATAGGCATATGAATTTTTTTAAACCTGTTTATTTTCATGCAAGATATATGAGAAAATGGAACACAGGGCACGAGGTGATGTAAAATTACTCACATGTAGATAACTAATTTCAGGTTGATCCAGGTTAGGGGGGGGAAATCAGGATCAAATAAACATCAAGGGAAGTCTTGAAGGAAAAAAGAAACCGAAGGAAGCAACATGTATTCATGTATTTGAAAAGGCAGGTGGCATTTGGGGAGGAGAGCAGTTCCAAGGTTTAATTTGGTGTAGGGGACTAGTTAAGAGTGTGAATCCAGTGGGTTTTTTTTCTCCAGTTTTTGTTTTTCTTTCTCCCAGCTATCTGCTTTTCCTCTCCTGAATCATCCTAATGGGTGTTCTGAACTATTTCTAAATAGACTTTGTTCACACTTCAGGGCCAGGTTATTAAACATCCATATCAGAATGCACTTGGCATTCTCTTGTTTTTCACTTTGTTTTAACTAGACTTTATACTTTTCTAATTCACCAGGATCCTAGACTCTGAAGAAGCCCCCAAAGGGTCTACTCTAAGCCAAGGCTGGTTCTCTTTCTCAATGTTTCTTGTAGATAGATTGGTTTGAGACCTTGCCTCAAAAGTTTTAAACTTCGTTTGATGATGTAATACATATCTTCCCTTGAACAGGTCTGTCTGTATCATAAAAAATAATAACAGTAACTTTTATGTTTATAAAATGCCTTAAAGTCCACAAAACTCTTCATATATATTATCTCAATTGATCACAGTCATTTTACAACCAGAAGAAACTTTAAGAGATTATTTTACTTGTCCCAAACCACCCAACAAATTAGTGGCAGAGCTGTGATTAGAACCCAGGCCTCTGGACTCTGTCCTGTGCTCCTCTCCACTCTCCCTCCCTCATACCATGCTGTCATCTTTTCGCATGGTGTCTGGGCTGGGATTATTACGTTATCCTGTCTTGCATGAGGTAATCCAGGTAAGGTTAATGTATTAGCACAGATGAGATTTGAATGCTGGTCCGACTCCAAATCTAGTGGTCTTTTCAGTCCATCTACTTCTTCAATAATATCTTGAAGAAACAATTTGGATAAATAGTTTAAAATTTAAAAAATTAAATTAAGAAGAAAGATAATGTGGGCAGGAATTATTTTGTATTTTGGCATGACTGAAATACAGAAACTCTTTCTGTGATGATCTTGACAGTTTCTGATGTATGGAACTTAGACAATGCAGCCAGAATGCTATAGGTTCACTGCTCCCAGCTGATTCTTCATATAGCTCACCATTTTTGATGCTACATTCAGAGTAGAATAGAGGCAACCAGGTCAAAGGGAAAGAGCACTGAGCTGTCACTAAGAAGACCTCTGCTCTAGTTTTAACACTCCATTAGCTAGCTGAATGACAAACAGAATAAAAGCTCTTTGAGGTCAAGGATTGTAGAAAAAAAAAATTTGAGAAAAATTTTCCATCTTGTCTTCCTTTTGGAACCCCTGTTATACTCTTTGGATTTCTTGCTGAAAGTTGGCTTTCTGGTGAGCAGAGCCATAATCAGGGTAGGGCAAGCAGACTTTGCCCCAGAGTAGGGACGTTTAGTTTAACATATGGTCTTTTTAATTAAATATTTTATTAATACCCTTAAAAGATACAATCACTTCCCCAATAACTCCCAGAGAACCTACTCTTACAAAGTTGTTTTTTTTTTATCTCAACAAGTGATTAATACCCCTCGATGGAGAAGACACTATAACATAAGTATTCTTTCACTCTTTCACCAGGTAGAAACAACTGAGATTATTACCTAATTAGCAAGAATGATTAAACTAAGAAGCTACCAGATGGCCCATTGTTGACAAGGACCTTCTTTGCTAGTAACTAACTTCCCTTCCCACTCAACATGTTTGTTTTTATAAAAAAAACCTCATAATTTATAAAAATAAAAAAGTGAATTTCATGTTTTAAAGTAAATAATATTTTGTGTTTTATTTGTGTGAGAGCTGTAGCAAAATTTTAGTTATGAAATAACTGGAGAAACAAAAGAGAAAGACACAGAATTGCAGAAGAAAAATGTCAAAGCAGCACTAACAATATGAATAGCTGGCTAATATTGAACCGACAGTTTCACAGCTGGATCATCTCAAAAGCTTTTCAGTCATAGATGAAACCAGAACAATCTTCAGGTTTCAACAAAGCTGGTATTATGACTGAGGTCAAAGTACAAAATGTACACTTCGATACTACTCAATTCAAATTACAAAATCCTACCAAAAAGCAGGTAAAAGGAAAGGAAGTAAATCAGTTTCTTTTCTTTTCTTTTCTTTCTTTTTAAAAATTTAATGAATTTATTTTTAGTTTTCAACATTCACTTCCACAAGATTTTGAGTTCCAAATTTTCTCCCCATCTCTTCCCTCCCCGCACCCCAAAGACAGCATGCATTCTGCATACCTTTTCCCCGATCTGCCCTCCCTTCTATTACCACCACCCTTCCCTTATCCCCTTCCCCTTCTATTTTCTTGTAGGGCAGGATAGATTTCTATACCCCATTGCCTATATATCTTATTTCCCAGTTGCATGTAAAAACAATTTTTAACCTTTGTTTTTAAAACTTTGGGTTCCAAATTCTCTCCCTTCTTCCTTGCCTACCTACCCTCATTGAGAAGACAGCAACTCGATACAGATTATACATGTGTAGTCATGCAAAGCACTTCCATAATAGCCATGTTATGAAAAATGAACTATATTTCCCTTTATCCTATCCCACCCCCCATTTATTCTATTCTCTCTTTTGACCCTGTCCCTCCTCAAAAGTGTTTGCTTCTGATTACCCCCTCCTCCAATCTGTTCACCCTTCTATAACCCCTCTTTTCTTATCCCCTTCCCCCCTATTTTCCTGTAGGGTAAGATAGATTTCCATACCCAATTGAGTGTGTATGATATTCCCTTCTTAAGTCAAACCTGATGAGAGTAAGATTCATTCATTCCTTCTCACCTCTCCCCTCTTCCCCTCCACAGTAAAAGCTTTTTCTTCCTTCTTTTATGTGAGATAATTTACCCCATTCTACCTCTCCCTTTCTCATTCTCCCAGTACAATACTCTCTCACCCCTTTATTTTATTTTTTAGATATCATCCCTTCATATTCAACTCACACTGTGCCCTCTGTCTATATGTATTACCTTCAACTACCCTAAGACTGAGAAAGATCTCATGAGTTACAAATGTCATCTTTCCATGTAGAAATGTAAATAGTTCAACTTTAATAAGTTCCTTATGATTTCTCTTTCCTGTTTACCTCTTCATGCTTCTCTTGAATCTTGTATTTGAAAGTCAAATTTTCTATTCAGCTCTGGTCTTTTCATCAAGAATGCTTGAAAGTTCTCTATTTTACTGAATGTTCATTTTTTTTCCCTTGAAGGGTTATACTCAATTTTGTTGGATAAGTGATTCTTGGTTATAATCCTAGTACCTTTGTCCTCCAGAATATCATGTTCCAAGCCCTGAGTCCCTTTAATGTAGGAGCAGCTAAATTTTGTGTTATCCTGATTGTGTTTCCACAATACTTGAATTGTTTCTTTCTGGCTGCTTGGAATATTTTCTCCTTGACCTGGGAACTTTGGAATTTGGCTATAATATTCCTAAGAGTTTTTCTTTGAGGATCTCTTTCAGGAGGTGATTGGTGGATTCTTTCCATTTCTATTTTACCCCCTGGTTCTAGAATATCAAGGCAGTTTTCCTTGGTAACCTATGGAAGGCTC